GTATTAGTTTAAAATATAGAAATCAAAAAGTTCTTACTTATTAATATCTTCACCAGTCTCATATTGCATTAAAATATGACGACAATAAAGAGCTTTATATTTGCTTTTAAAGCTCTTTATAATTCCTGCATCTATTGGTTGCAGGTGAGCTGTTGTATTGGGAGATAAAAATGCAATTTTAATATTAGTTAGATTTGAATATGAACTCTGCTGATTTTGTTTTTTGCGCTTGTTTTGTTTTTTATTTGATGTACGTTTTTTGCTAGATGCCTTAGAGGATGAACCAATACTATTACTCAATTCAACATCTTTATTTTCAAAACCAAAACCAGCTTTATCTTGATTAGTATATTCTTCATTTGGATCAAAGTGAGAGACAGCATTATCAAGCAGTAGAAGAATTTTTTGGTCTTTAATTCGAAAATAATAATTTAATTAGTAAAGCCATTCTTCAAATATATTACTATGCATCCATGCCTTTTCATTGGCATGGTATTTAACAGGAAGAGAATTCAAGTTAATATGTTTAAAACACCATGGTCGTGAAGATTTACCAATTACCCATGGTTTAAGACAATGTGTTCCTGTAGCATTGGTGCCAAGTAAAACAGTAATTCTTACTTTATCCTATAAGTTAAATGGATTTTTTGTTTAAGACATATATATTTACAGTTTTACTAAATCACATCAGTAGTATTTGATATCACAGTTGTTATACTTTAAAAACTAGTTAAATAAATGTAATAAGTAAAAATATTTAATTCTCTCAAAAGTCTTATTTTACTAAAATTTAAACCTATATCTTTACTATAGTTTAGGTTTCCAATCCCAAATTTTACTAACAAAACTATTAAACATATATGTGGTGTTGAATACTACTAGTGTAATTTAATGTAATATTATATAGACATACTTTTTTTTAACCATGTATAAGAGCCATTGACAAAGTTTAGTTTGGTGGCATATGATAAAATAATGCAGTTTTATCTGCATTATAAATTTGATTAAGTGTATACTGGCTAAGAAGATTATGTAACTTTTATCTTTCTTCATATAATGTTTCTAAAGGTGCACTTTTGGCCTCTCTATGTAAACAATAAACATGAAGATTATTATGACGTTTGAATTTTTCAATCCAATCATTTAATAATTTCAAATCAGATTCATTTATATTAAAAGCCTGCATAAAAAACCTGGCCTTTTCTTTAACTATCATTTCGCTGATTGGAATTTTTGCTACAATCATGCTTTCTACCCATAAACTCATAGCTTTTTCAAATGATGGAAATTTTGGTAAACAGTGATGAAATTTACTTTGTGCTATTTCATCTGAAACTACTGCTAACTATTTATCTTTTTCATTAATAATTTTAGAAATAGTTGAACGGTATATATTTAATTGAAAATTTTGATTAAAGTATTCTGCAATTTGCACATGGTTATATTGAGGATTTTGAATTGCAAATTCACAAATTTGTTGCTTAAATTCATCATTAATAGCAGTTTGAACTTGTTTAGATTTTGACAGATTCAAAATTCTGTTCTTTTTTTTTTTTTTTTTTTTACAAACAAGCTATATTTATAGCAGAATAATGTAGTAACTTTATTAGTTTAATTAGGTTTAGCTTATTTTATTAGTACATATTTGAGTTAACAAAAAGTTAAAAGCTTTAACATATTAATAATCATATGAATAATAAGAAAAAGCTCAATATTAATAATTCATACCGATAACAATTTCTAAATTAATATTACTATAAGAGTATAGCAACAGGCAAGAAAATTTCTTATTATTGTGTTAACTCTTTTTGGTAGTTAATTTAAATAAAGCTTATGGCCATATATAACATCTAAATTTTAAAACATACAAATTATACCTTAACTACTTTTAACAATCTATTTAAGTGTTAAAAAAAAAAAGATATGATTTATTAGTATCCTTTTTATATATGATTCATGATTGAAAATTTCTAGTTTATGTTCTAGAAAATGGTCTGAATTGTCTTATAATATAAATAAAGCTCTACAGTTACTTATGAAAAAATAAAGCATCAAATTACTGATGATAAAGTTTTTAATATTACTTATAGTTATTTTTTTTTTTGATTTGTGAGAGGCTATCAACAAAATAACAAGTGATCATTATTGTGGATCAGATGATTAAGGGAGATTCTACTTATTACGTAAATATAGCCCTTTTTAGAACAGTTATTTAACAATTATATGTTCTAAAGCAATCTATTGTTTGACAATTGCAATCTCCAAAGTAACCAATCATATAAAGTTTATATTACGATTACTTTAGAACTTGTAATTGTCAAATGACTGACTCTGAAAGGGGCTATATTTATGTAATAAGTGGAGGCTTTCTTATAGATCACAGTACAGTTATTCACTTTTATCTTTCATGGGTTTGTATTTATATAGTAATTTATTAAATGCAGGTATTTTTCATTTATAATATAATTATATATGATTTTTAAAATTTAGATGGCTTTGATTATTGGAGAATGAGTAAGGGGTATTAGTTATATAGCTATATACCTGTAATTACTTATATAAGGAAGGAAATTTGTGTTCTTGCCTATGCAGATATTTAAGAAATTTTGCTTTGCCAAATATAGCATAAATTAGTTTTTCTTTACTATTGCTCACGTTATAGAAAGACTGGTTTTTTTATTTCTTCTCTCCTGCCTGTCTTTTACTAGCTCAAAAAAAATGCATCAGTATCTGTTTATAGCAGTGTTGGGCCATGACAAGGTCATAATGGTCATCTCACTAAGTTTATTCAAATTAACAGTAAGTCAACAGATCAAAAAGACAGCTAAGCAGTAATGCGTCAATCAGTCAACAATCACATGGGTAATTCTGTTTCTAACAAGGAAATCTGGTATATGTAAGAAGTAAGATAAGTAAAATTTAATAACTTATCAATTTAAGATTTGTGGCATGATTATTAATATAACTAAATATGTCAGAACATACATGACAATAACAAATATATAAAATAGATCAGTAAGGTAGCCTAACGGTAGGGTTGGAGTCTCAGAAAATTTTTTGGGCAATTCTCTAAAATTTTTTGTACAGCAATTTTTTACGTATATGAATTTTTTGAAAAAGGGTATGCCCTGAGTCACCTTGTCTTCAACTCTATCTAATAGCAGCTTCCTAAAGGCAAAGCAAATTTCTTACTCTCTTTCAGTAGAATCCTGCTATTTTTGCAAATCCTTTAGATTGACAGCTGATTTGCATTATGCAGATGAGAAACCACCAGCTAAGATTATCATTGCTAATTTAACCACAAAGCTTCTGGCTAACAGCTATCTGTTTTATGTAGGTGAGAAACTACTGGCTAATAACAATTATATATCAATTGCATTGATGTATACTATATTTCTCTTTCAATTACACATCAATTGTGTAGATGCATACTACATATAGGGTCTGTGCCTTAAAATAACCTTATGGTACTATGTAGATTTTATGAATTAAAATTAAAATTTCTAGCTATCTAGTAATCCAATTCAAATAAACTTTCTTTTTGTTTTGTAGAACTCACTACAAATTAAAAAAAAAAGTTATTTGAATTGGATTACTGGATAGCTAAAAATTTTAAAAAATCTACATAGTTCTGTAAGGTCATTTTCAAGGCACAGACCTCATATTTCAATTATACATTAATTGTACTGATATATGCTATATGTTTCCTTAAAGCAACTTAATAAAGTTTTAATATCTAATGCTATTTGTACTGGAATGCCTTCAATTAGATATTACATATGTTGTAGAAGTGCAAGTCGACACCATGATGGCTTGGGTCATTTCTGCTGAATCTGCTGTTTCGACTATATTGACCATATCCGATATAACCTATCACTTATGGTCAATATGGCATAAGTGGCAGAAATAGCTCATAAAATAAGTCACGAATAGTATACATAGGATAGAAAGTAACGAATATAAGATATATGTCATATATAGTATGCAGAATAATATAGTAACAAAAAATATATAAAAAGACCAACAATCATACCTCAAATAAAAAAAACTTTTGGTATCACAACTTCGAAATTACTACAGTAGAAGTATCCAAGTAGTGTTCCAAACCCTTTTCATTCAAATATACTAGTCGTAATATTCGTATTTTTGTATTTTCTTGTCCTTGTAATTCAGTTGACCCGTTACTGTATTGCGTTAAGAAAGAAAGAGAGAAAAATCATATTAGTAATCAACCCCTATTTATATAAAAACTTAAAGTGATTACATTAGTGATCAAACCATTGTTAAATAATACATACGTAATTTGATTTTAATCGATTCTACATAGTCATATTTCAGCATCTACTGATGCTGAAATAAATCATGTGAACATGTGACTGGAAAATAAGCAGTGCACTTGAGATATAGAGAAGAAAAAAGAGATATTAGTATTGAACCAGTTTAAAAGTATAAAAAATACCTATTTAAAGTAAAAGAAATACTTATCGAAGATATAGAAATATACTAGCAAGACTCTAAGTCTCTAAACCCAGACCAAATCTAACTATGCCTCGATCGAAGCCTACCAATTAGGGATTTTAGGTCTTGCTTGATGTTTTTTTTTTTTTTTTTTTTTTTTTTTTTGTTATGCCAAAGTAGAAACTTTATTAAGTAATAAAAGTAATTACATTA